AAACTAGCTTCTTTTGATTTCTAACTTCAAATCAAATTGCAGGTACCTACTAGATATGACAAAATACACAGGTAACCTGCACAAGAGCAAGAGCAACACAAATATCGAATAAAATGCGAATTGAGACACGATATTTGTTTTACCGAAGTTCGGACTCGTGCGAGTCCTACTCTCCGTTGAGGGGGCTGCGGGTGACCTAGTGAAGGTCAGCCCTAGAGGATACCATGAAGGTCACTCTAGCCGAAGTCTTTTCCAACTCATTTTCCTCCTTCCACTAGTTGATTCTGAGGCGGCGGAATCGACCGTTACAAACTTTCTAAGGCACACCACAATCTCTCGGGTGCTCTCCGGCGACGCCTAACCGTCTAGGACCGAATAGTCCAAGAGTAACAAATGTGAATCATGAAATAGACAATATGCACAAGTGCTCAAGTGGTGGCTTGCTCTCTTTCAAATTCTCCCTTAACCCATAAATGAATTTTGCTATTTGGATCACACACTCACTAAGAGAGGGTTTGGGAGAGTTGGCAAGGCTCAAAAATGTGTATACAAACCAGCAGAATCAGCAGCCTCAAAAGGTGGAGGCTTCGGGGTATTTATAACCCCCTTAGAAAAACTAGTCGTTTTATAGTCGTTGCCATACCGGATATGTCCGGTATTACTTACACTGCGCCAATGGTAACTAAGTTACAGTGATGTTGTGAGGCATCAGAACTCCCGATGAATGCCGGAACTCCCGACTCACGTCGGAACTCTCGACCCTCAGCATATTTAAAAACCAACCGTTGGCCTCTAGTCATTCATACCGGACACTTTCGGTATGAATAACGGACACGTCCGGTATGACCACCACAGTGAACTCTCCAAGTTAGTTAAAGCGCGAGATGTCAGAACTCACGACCATTGTCGGAACTCCCGACGAACCAACCCGAGAACAACAATTTTACCATTGCTGGGTAAATACCGGACACGTCCGGTATTGCCAGACCAGCAAGAAATCAGTTATCTCTTTTGTCTCTCAAATACTCAAAACTCACATGGGTTGGCTTGAGCACTTATGAAATATTATCTATCAACATGATGCATCCCTCTTAATAGTACGGCATACCTATTAAACTCAAGATTAAAGGAAAAATGAATTTTTACCGCTTGAGTTGACCTCTTTTGAATTAATGCCGTCTCTTTCAATCTTCATCAAGTAAGGGTGCCAACATGTTGATATTGATCTTGTCACTTGAGCATAGCCATCTTGAGCACGTGACCTGATTCCATTCATCAAATATGAATAACTTCAAATGCATCAAGTCACTTCAAACACTTTGTCCAATATAGATTTGATCCTCCACATCAATATGACCATCGTAGCTTGATTAGTACCTCAACTAAATGCAAGTACTTCCTTCTTCACCCTAGCTAGGTTCTTCGGCCACCAAGCCGTCGCTTGCCCTTCACCCTTGCTTAGTACCTCGAAGCCTTTCCTTGCTATCTTCACCATCTCAAGCCATCAAGTCACATCTTGTGTTGAATCAACCATTCATTTGTATTGTTATCTTTTTCATTTCAATTTAGCAAGCTTCAAATATGAGACCATTCCATATGCAATCCATCATGTCTCATTAATTAATTCTTACGAGCTTGCTTTCACATAGAACATGAAAATCCCACAATAAATAAGCATTTGCATGAATTCCATTTGCATTGTTGTCTTGTGCTTGAACTAGATTGTTTTATACAACAATGCATCATTTTGGCTTTCATTAAGTACCTGTGAGATAACCTATTACATGTCCACACTTAGCAAATGGGTTAGACCTTTAATCACGTTGTCATTCAACCATCAAAACCCACTAAAGGGCTAGATGCACTTTCAGCGAGCACTAACGCCACTAGTATCAGGCTTGGCTCGGTGGCGACGGTGGGGGATGGGGAGCGAGGAGCACCATGGCCACCGGGGTGGGGGAGCTCGATCGTCGGGGTGGGAGAGGGCGCCGCCGAGGGTGGGGAGGGTGCTGTGCCGGGGTAGGGGAGAGCCTCCCACTCCCCTTGCAACACCGTCGTGCCACCTCCATGGATCTCTCTCGTGCTCCATGGATCTCGTCGGAGCGGGGGAGAGGGCCACTGGATCTGCAGCATTGGGGGCTCCCGGTGGGTGAGGACGCCGGGGTGGGGGGGAGGGACGCCACCAGGCTGGGGGAATGAGCCACCGGGGTGGGGGAGGAGGACGCCGGGGTGGGCAAGCGAGAGAGAGAGGACCAATGGGGAAGTACAAGAGACAGGAGCTCGTTGGGCAGGCAGCACGTGCGGAGCAAAGCGGAGCGAGGCAAGACGGCCAGGAGTTGATTTTATTTTTTATTTATTTAGGCAAGCGGCAGTGAGGTAAAGTTGTGGTGCATGTCACGCCACGCGTCCAGAGGAGAGTCCCTGGCATTGGACGTCCTAGCATTACCTTAGATATTTAGATGGGATTAAAGATAGAACCGACCTTTTTTTTGGAAAAAACAAAATGAGTAAATAAATTGTACTCCGTACCTTTTTGAAACTGAAGAGGGTTGTTTTTCCCAAATACACACAAGTAATCTCAATGCAACTATACATATTTAAGATATAACAAGACCTGCAAGTTTTCGGAAGTGTTTGAATGAACTCCCCGATTCTTGTTGTGGCTCATCCTAATGTCGTTCACTCCATAACCACACCGATCAGTCATCGAGGACCGTGGACAATCTAAAAAACTGACGAAACTGAGACCACAAAGATAGAGATATATAGCTAAATGGTTTACAAGTGATTTTTTAGAAAATAAAATGTTTTTACTTTTTTTCCTTTTCTTTTTTTGAGGAAAACTTCTTTTTTCCCTGAAGGCGCGGGAGCAATACAACTATACTTGCAGCCCAAATTGATCGGCCTCACTTTACAATTCCCTGCTTCCTGGGCTGGCCCAACACCTGCCACCATACCAAGTTATCAACACCTGTCAAGCACCCTCTGGTTGTTTGAAAATACCAAGTTTTGTCAACACCTGTCAAACACCCTGGTTGTTTGAAAATTGTTTGGAACAAAAACATCCTGGTTGTTTCAAAAGTTGTTTGGAACAGTTTTGTGAATAGATCGCGATTAACCATTGGTGCCTTCTGCAAATATTCTAGATGGCATCAAGATCGCGTCGCGTTGCCACTCAAACTTCACATGGCAGTAGACAAGAAGGTCCTTGTGGCGCCGCTCCGCCGCGCTGCGCCCTCTGCCTGCTGCGCTGTGCCGCTGTTGAATCTGCCTGATGCGCCCTGTGCCGTGCTGCTTCGCCTCCTCCGCCTGCGAAAGAGTCTTGGATTGAATTCGTTTCTAAAACATGTAGCCCGTGGATAGAGGCGTTGTGCCCCTCCGGGGGCGACGAGGTGCTCACATCACCTACCAAAGCTGAACACCAAAATCCTCAAAAATCCAACTCTAATCCCACCTCTGACCTCCCTGACTCAGCCGTCTGTAGATCCGAGTGTGCCTTCTTCCCATGGGTCTTTCGCCGTCGTTTCTGCAACATCGGAGGTCTCAGGTGGCTTGTTTCCGTCCCAGTTAGAGTCTGCCGCGGCGGCTGATGCAGCCTGTTCGGTTGGCCGGTTCGTATCGTTGCTGGTTCGTGAAGAAGTACTGCTGGTTGGTTTGTGTGAGAGAGAAAATACTGTTCCGGCTGAAAATTTACGATCGTTTATGACAAACCACAGCCAAACGAACAGGCTGCATTCGCTGGTTCGGGATCTGCAGTAGCTGCTCGAGTCCACCAGCTCCAACCAACGCAGGATGGGAGAGCAATTCCCAGATCCACAATTGGAAGACCTCCTTCAACGAGCTGCCAACAATGCGAGAGACATGGTTCAAGCCATCGAAGCAACCAAACACAAGGGGAAAGGGAAATTTGTTGCATATCATTCAATGGACCACGGCCCCCCGGTGGGTCGCGTGAAAGAGACGCATCGAGCCACTCTGCACGCTGATGCCAGACGGCCCAATCTTCAGACCAAGCATGGCAAAGTATTTCAAATCACAGAGCAGAGTCGCACTATAACAGACTCAACTTTTCGCCATGCCATCAAGCATCAAAGTTCCCTTCCTGACCAAGCGCACAAGCCTGCACCTCACTACGAAGTTCTAGGCGACCGGCGTGTGGCACGGCACGACACACGTCATCTGGGAGAGATAATCAGCCTGTTCGCTTGTTGCTTTCAGTCAGGGCTTATTAGCCAGCCAACAGTATTTTCCTCTCACAGCAAACCAGCACCAGCCGGACTTATTAGCCCAGAAACCAACCAGCGAACAGGCTCAATGTGCACCATCATCAGTTCGCGGGACTGCATGACCCTCTTCATCTTCCAGGCACTCATATCAGTTCCGCTCTCTGGACTGTGGGCCTGCATTTCCTCATCCAAGGTATCCTAGCAGCCCTTTTCAAGAGGAGTATCCATGGTTTGATAGAGAAGAAGGATAGGATAAAGCCAAGTCACGTTTTTAGTGGAGAAAATCGTCAGGAGATTTAAGAGGTTCACCTACCCACTGTCGTCCAGCTGTTGAGCCAGAGGAGAGGAGGCAGAGATTTCTCAAACATGTTCGAGGACGTTGTCTCAATTGCCTCTCTACTATGCACCGAGTGGCTTTTTGCAATAGATTGACGAGGTGCTGGCGCTGTCTGGAAGAGGGACACAGGGCATCTGCTTGTCGAGGGAACCGTGAATCCCTCTCAACCGTTGAACAGGAGGCGACATCAACAAAGCGATGATGAAACTCACTATCACCTGGGTGGAAGCTTACAAGTTGAGGATCCCCGACGTCACAGTAGGGCCTCCTCACCTTTGTTATGCAGGCTGTTCGCTTGTTGGTTTCAGTCAGGGTTTATCAGTCAGTCAACAGTGTTTTCTTCTCACAACAAATCAGCACCAACCGAGCTTATCAGTCCAGAAACCAACCAGCGAACAGGCCGATGGTATTATGATAACAGTGAACCCCCACACACCATGAGGACAGTAATGGGCAAACAGGACAACAAGAGGTCAACACCCAAGCATGTCACTTTCGCGACGCCACTCACTCAGATCATGGTTGACAAGGCAAAGTTGATCATCGAGGATAGCAGCTATAACCTCATGGATAACACTCTCACCACACTCCCTCTTGGACCAAGCATATATTCCTGTGACCCCATGTAATTTGAGTCACGCATCACCAGGACATCAACAATTACTCCACAAACTCTCTTGACGTCTCCGATCAGAACTCCGAAGAAAAAGCTCTTGGCAATGCTTGATGCTGCAACTAGTCAATATTCGATCTCGTCGTCCGATACGGATATAGAAGGGGTTATGGCAAATGCTGATCCACAATGCCACTATAGTGAGACAAACTTGGAGAAGCCTAACACAGATAGCAGCTCAGATCCCCCAACAACCATAGAAGTGACTGACCTGATAAATTCAGAAGTTGCAGGTGTTGAACCATTATGCCACTCCGACAGTGCAACAAATGCTGAAGTACAGATTGATAGCACAGTGGAACCAGTACACATTTTAAAGGAGGCTGCAGATGTTGCTGATGGTAAGTCGTCAACACCTGGTGCTAGTTTGGGAAGCGTACCTCCAGAGATGGGCAAACAGAAGCATGTCGCTGATGTTTTGGGGGCACACTGATCTACATGGTAATGGTGTGGAAAATGATCAAAATACCAGCTCTTCTAGACTGCAAGAGCCGGTTATCCCCCAAGTTCCTTCCAATATTGTGGAGAATGAGGATGATTCCACTGCACCACAAGACCCAGCTGCGATAGCTAAGGCCGTTACAATTGATGGGTTCATAGCTTCAATTACTAAATCTATACCAGCCCCTTTAATCCCACAACTAACAGAAGCAATTCCTGATGATGAATCCAATGATCATGAAATGGGAAACACATATGAACCACCTGAGATCCCATCACCATCAAGATCCTCTGACATTACCCCACAACGTAAAAGCAGTAGGTTAGCGAAGAAAGCCAAAACCACAGAAGGAAAAGGAGCAATCCAAGTTATAGAGGAGTTGCTTGTCAAAAAACTAAGAGACTTATCGTCACCAACAACACAAGAGGAAGCTGACCAGTTGGAGTTTTATGCACAACATTTTGAGCGTCCACTCACCAAGGAGAAGATGGATACCCTCATGGTGCTAATTGAAGTGGGGCAACAAAAAAGCAAGGAGAAGAGGGGCAAGCTAACCAAAGTGGAACCTAGAAATATTCAAGAGCAGTTAGAAGTTTGATGGAAGTTCTCATATGCAGCTGGTGGTTTATTTGATGGCCTTTTGTTGATGTACCTGCGCTCTTCTGTTTTGACTTCGGTGTTCTTCAATGGTTGCTTGCTGATTAGGCGTGCACGGTGTTTTTTAGCTTAATGAGTTGATGTGGTCTTTGTAGGCTTTTGGGTGTTAGTTGTGGCCAGCATGGTTGTGAGTTGCTTGGTGTTGGTTAGTCGGCTGTTTGTACAGGCGCTGGTTCTTGTGTTGTGTCTTTGACTTGTAGGTAGTGGCTTTTTGGTGGTTTGTGGTCAGTTGATGTGTCGGAATTGTTTCCGATGACTTGTTGTATCCCTAGTTGTAGGGGTTTTAGGTCTAGTTTCTCTAAAAATCTGGACAAACTCTTGTTTTGTTTTCTTCTTCTAATATAAATCGCAGCAAAGCTTTTGCCGTCCTTCCTTAAAAAAAAAAGAAGGTCCTTGTGTGGAGAACGAGTGTTCCTCTCACCGGTCACCACCCATGGCTGCAACCTCACCCTGCCAAGTGTACCATGCCTCTATATCAGTCTTCCATTCCATCACTCCATGAGAAATCACGAGCAGATGTCATCTAGCTGCAAAGACGAACCCATATCAAAGCAGTACCGGAAAGATGAAACCCCCGAGACACCATGAAGTGAAGGCACAGATATATATGCAGCAAGCCAAGTTGCAGTATCACGGCATAATTTTCTCAGTTATTTTTTTTCTTTTCGATACAAACTTACAGAGACAACACAGCATGACGCTATTAGTCGGCTACCCCAGAACCAAAAGAGAGGGTTAAGAAGAACCAACCAACCTAATATTAAACATGTTACGTAATCTGATATGTAATCTGATTCCAATATGTATTAGGTTTTGTTGTAACACACAGATATGTTTGCAATTCTATTCCTAATATCAAACCACAAAAAGTTTCTTAATTTACATTATTTTCTATTTTTATTTTTTCTCGTGTTTTTTCCCATTCTGTCTACCGAGCAGAAACTCCCATCTGGGGAGTCCTTTTCGGAGAAGTACCATTTTTCTATTTTTTATCCATTTGTTTCCCATTTCCTTTTTTGTTTTCCTTTTTCCCATGCCTTTTTTCTGTGTTTTTGTCTTTTCAATTTACGCTCCAGTGGTTTTCTTTCACATTTCATGTTCATTTTAATTTTTTCCTGTATCTTTTCTTTTCATATTTTTATTTATTAATTTTCTTTTTCTTCAAACCGTAAGCCGTTAGGTTATCATAACTCCCTCCTGATTGGTAAAAGAAGTTGTTTTGGACAACGACACGTATTGAAAAGTGTTATATGTATATGTTTATGAAAGTATTTTTCAAGACAAATCTATCCATGTGGTTTTCATGTTTTCAAACCCAACCACTTAAAAGTTATTCATGATTTATATTCCCTTAGTTTGATCCAAACCTTGTCCAAACTCCAAAATAACTTCTTTTACCAACTTGGAGGGAGAAATAGGTTGTATGTCTTGGTGTAAAGTTCGGACATAAAATTGAAAGAGTATTTCCAACTATTTTTTTTTTTACTTTATGCAAACCCTCATGCTTCTCTTGTCGTGTATATAATATGAACTTTTCATTCATGCTCAAATAAGTTAGCACAACAATGTTTTAAATAGCCGGCTAAGCCATTTAGCTATCTATATCTCAAAACATGCTATAGCCGGCTATAGCGGCAGCTAAGGGCTAACTTGTACATGAAAAAACTTAGTTAAATTCTTCTCAAACAGCTATAGCCGGAGATAGCGGAGGCTATAGCCAGAGATTTAAAACCTCGAGCACAACACACGTCCGTTGACAATGAGAAGCCTGATTTCAAGACATGTCCAACAATGGTACCAAGTTCACTTTTAAGACATAATGGAATAGAAGGCATATGATCATTAAATAATTAAATCTTTGAAACATAGATCGTTTGGATGCATGATACATCTAGTTACATTGCACAGGCACATTCGCTAATATAATAAATATTGTGAAGAGGCTTCGTCAATTTTAGTATGCTTCATGGCCGCTACACGCTCTGGTCTATATGTCAAGTGGTGCGAAGGCGCCCTATAATAAATACGTGACACGCGATATATGCCAGCAGAGCTGATATCAAAGCAACTTCGTAAGGGCAGTTCTAATAAAAAAAAAACTAGTAGTTTCTATAACATAGGATACCGTATAAAAAAAAAGTACTGCTTTCCAACTCATGGTTTCTATGAGTAATAATTATTTTCTCTTTCTCTCTCATAACTCTATCTTCTTTCTCCAATGGGAGTACGGCACGAGCCCGCTAGAAACTGGTGGTTTCTCGCCAATGGCGATTTCATGGTTTCTTGGTGCATTAGGTCAAGAGAAGACCTGATTTCTTCATGAGGAAATCATTTCTATGATTTTTGCTCTCTTTCTTCATTAATTACGTTGCCATGTCAACATTTTACCTACGTGGCAAGTCATTTAATGATGATAAAAACCATCATCAATACATCATTGGAAATGCCCTAAGCAAGTCTCTGCGGGCTGGTCGATGAGCCTGCAATGAACGCCCCGGCCCAGGCAAGTATGTCTAAGGCTACAAGGGTGCTGAAAGATGACCTTCGAATTCTGTTGTAGAACGAGGGGGTTGCAGTAGAAGAATACGAGGTACTGAGGTCTGCCCGCGATATAACCTTTGGCAGCATCATCGGCTTGCCAGACGCCTCCAGGAGGGTTGAGCGCCGCACTGTAGGTTATGGACGCCGTTAGAGTTACAACAAACATCAGCCAACCTCGAAGCTCATCGCTCTGTGAACGAGCCGCTGCTGTGATCTCTTGCTGCTGTCTTATAATTTCGCGGATTGCATCAGACAATTGGGCAGCGGTGATCTCTTGCTGCTGCTGCTGCGGCGGCGGCGGCGGCGGAGACGACGGGATAGCTGCCGACGAACCGCTGCTAGCTCCAACAGGTGGTTCCGCACCAGACATGCTGAATAGTTACGGTTTGCCCTCAGATCCCAGCTGCCCCGCCCCCACCCCCGCCCGCCTATCCTAGATCTTCGGTTCAAAAACCCCTTTACTATCGGATTTTGAACCGACAAGTGATAAACCGAGCGATGATGGGGGTTGATATGCGAAATCGGCAGTGATGTGGAAAGCCAAAAAATACACTGAAAAAATAGAAAAAAAATTAATACCGGAAGAGGTCCCACTGGGCAGCTACACGATCGCGCGTCCCAACCATTGGCGCTCAAACCCCTGACCTCCTGTTTCGCGTCTTTGGCCCCCTAACCACTCCACCTGTAAGTTGTTTGTATCCAAATGAGATTTTCATCCTAGCCATTTTATGTTCATCTGATTTTGAAATGAGTATTTGGGACCCTAAATGAATTCAAATGAAAAAGTTATCAATTAAAAAGTTTTATACATTTTCGAGATCTACAACTTTCATTTTGGTAGTTTCTCCATCCGAGGTCATTTACAAGATTTGAATTTTAAATTTGAGAAATTCAAATATAGTTTTTCATGACAAGATGATTTCAAATGAAAAAGTTGTCAACTACAAAATTTCATAACTTTTCGAGATCTACAACTTTTATTTTTGTTGTTTGTCCATCTGAGGTCGTTCAAAAAATTCAAATTTTAAAATTTTAAAAATTCAAACATAGTTTTCTAGACAAGATGATTTCAAATCAAAAGGTTGTCCACAATAATGTTTCGTAACTTTTTGGAATCTATAAATTTTATTTTGGTAGTTTGTCCATCCGAGATTATTTATAAAATTTGAATTTCAAATTTTAGAAATTCAACGTAGTTTTTTTTGACAAGATGATTTAAAATAAAAAAGTTATGAACTATAAAATTTCATAACTTTTTGAAATCTACAACTTTTATTTTGGTCATTTAGTAATTTACTCATCCGACATAGTGACAGTAACATCGTTCACAAATGTTAAATTTTACGAACAATGTTACTACCACTTTATCAGATAAAGAAATGACCAAAATAAAATTTATAGATCTTGGCAAGTTCTACAACTTCTATGTTTATGACTTTTTTGGTTGAAATCATTTAGTCTTTCATCCTTGATTAAGATAATATTCAAGACATGCGAGCCCCCAAGCTTGGTCAGATTAACTGAGACCTAGCCATGGCAATGGCCGACTAAGCCATGTATTGATCTTGGAATGCCGACTAAGCCATATAATGATCTTCAAATCTGATATGAAATCTTGACTTGGCCGACTAATATTCATCAAGATAACTAGTTTGTAACAAATCCGAGTAATTGTGCCATTGTTGACTCTGGAACGCTGACCACTGCGTAATTGATGGTCAGATCAATAACAGACCCCACAATTAGACGCGTGGTGGAAAATCCAGCCGTTGGCATCCGTAACGGTTAAAAATATCTGCACGTTAGCCTCTGCAACGATAAAAAAAGATCTGCCCGTTGGTGGCACAACGGTTACTTCCAGGAGGAGATACCTCCGTAATTCCAATTGTAAATAAATAGCCGTGCGGTAAAAACTTTTCACCCTCCCATCCTTGCATCTCAACCTTCTCGCTTTTGCACTTCCTTGTGCCCAAACTCTTGAGCCGCCAAACCCTAGCTGAATTCTCCCCTTCCTGGATGCAAGTGAAAACGGAGCAAGCATTGTGAAAATAGGAAGTATTTCTGTCTCCAAAACGGAGCTAGTTTACATCAACTCAGCTGCTTCCAGTACAAATCAATTTGCTCTTCCAATCTATCCACTTTGAAAGTCCACACCGACTCACGGCTAGTGGAAAGATCGCTGATCAGTTCGCGCCTCCACTTCTCTAGCTCCTTCTTCGCCTTTCTCATCCTTTTCTCCAAGTCACCCAGGACATTATCACTCCAGTATTTTAGCCCCGCGGCAACCTGTTGGAGACCCGCCCCATCTCACCTGCCTGCGCCTCCCGGGCCCCCCAAGGACCACAAAAATTTAGATGTATTGCCCCATGACTTACAAGTTGTTTTTTTAAAAAAAATGTGTGTTTCCTTAAAGCGCCTTCCGGTGGCTCCTGCTCCTTCGGAATCAGCTACTGTAGTAGAGAGCTGTTTTTCTCAACTCATGAAATGAACTAGGAGACCAAGAAGAAGCCACGTTTTCCTAGCTCATCTAGCTCGGCTTTCTCTGGCACTGTAGCATGGAGTTGGAGCCAGCAAGAGCCTGCCAAAGAGGGCCATAGTTATAATTGCAGCCCAAATTGATTGATCTCACTTTAGAATTCCCTGCCACTTCGGCTTCCTGGGCTGGGCCAACACCGGCTACCGCCCACCAGTTATCAACACCTGTCAAACACCCTGCCATTCCTGGGCTGGGCCAACACCTGCCACCGCCCACGAGTTATCAACACCTGTCAAACACCCTGCCACTTCGGCTTCCTGGGCTGGGCCAACACCTGCCACTGCCCACCAGTTATCAACAACTGCCAAACACCCTGGTTGTTTGAAAATTGTTTGGAAGAAGTTTGGTTGTTTGAAAATTGTTTGGAACAAGTTTGTGAACGGATCGCGATTAACCATGGTATCTTCTGCAAATACTATTCCCATGACAGCATGGACAAGAAGGTCCGTGTGTTCATCAATGGAGAATTAATATTCAGTGTTCCTCTCACCAGTCACCACCCAGCGCTGCAACTGCAAGCTCACCCTGGCAAGTCCATGCCTCTGTATCAGTCTTCCATTTGATGACTCCATGAGGAATCGCGAGCACAGGCCGTTTAGTTGCAAAGACGAATCCATATCAAAGCGGTATTTGAAAGATCAAACCCGGGGACACCATAAAGTGAAGGCACTGATATGCAGCAAGCCAAGTTGCAATAACACGGCATAATTCTCAGTTCTTTTTCTTTTTCGATATAGAGGCTACACAGCATGATACTATTAGTCTGCTACCCCAGAACCAGGAGAGAGGGTTAAAAAGAAATAACCAACATACTGATCTACTGACCTACCTACCCTTTGGGTGACTTGCTTTCACACTTAATATGTACACTTACGCTGCGGGATCCAGCACTTCCTATATATAGGAACAAAATATTGCCCCCCCAAATTTGGCGGCAGACATACACATGCATCAGGGACCCTAGGAAGTCTCTCTGCTTCATCATTCAGCAAAAACTTTGGGCTTCCGGACCCTTTGGCTCCTCCTGCTATCTACAGCCACCAGCACAGCCTTCTCAACCTGCAGCTTCGAGGGGGGCAGTCGCAGCACTCGCAGCAGTCTCTGCCTTCTTCGCTTTGGAGGATGAGTTTTCAGTCACCTGCTTCTTTTTCGCTGAGGACGCACTTTCAGCCTCCTGCTTATTTGCAGCTACAGACGAGCTTACAGTTTCCTGCTTCTTCACTGCTGAGGATACCTTCCCAGTTTTCTGCTCCTTCGATGCTGAGGTCAAGTTCCCAGGTCCATGCTCCTTTGCAGCTGTGGATGAGGTTTCAGTTTTCTGCTTCTTCGCTGCTGAGGATGGCTTCCCAGTTTTCTGCTCCATCGATGCTGAGGACTTGTTCCCAGATCCATGCTTCTTTGCAGCTGTGGACGAGGTTTCAGTTTTCTGCTTCTTCACTGCTGAGAAAAGCTTCCCAATTGTCTGCTCCATCGATGCTGAGGATGAGTTCCCAGATCCATACTTCTTTGCAGCAGTGGACGACTTTTCAGTTTTCTGCTTCTTCACTGCTGAGGATGGCTTCCAAGTTTTCTGCTCCATTGATGCTGAGAACGAGTTCCCAGATCCATGCTCCTTTGCGTCTGCAGGTTCATTTACAGATTTGCGCTTTTTTCCAGTAGAGCGGGCTGTCATGGTTTCAGGCCCTGTTGCAGCAGAGCGTGTGCCCTCGGTTTTCTGCTTTGCTACAGCAGAAGGTGTGCTCTCAGTTTGGGTATTTGCAGCTGACAGCGTGCCCGTGCCCTCAGTTTTCTCCTTTGCAGCATATGTTTCGGATGCCTCTTTCCTCTTCATTGCTGAGGATGGCTTCCCAGTTGTCTGCTCTGTCGATGCAGAGAATGAGTTCCCAGATCCATGCTCCTTTGCATCTGCAGGTTCATTTACAGATTTGCGCTTCTTTCCAGCAGAGCGAGCTGTCATGGTTTGCGGCCCTGTTGCAGCAGCAGAGCATGTGCCCTCGGTTTTCTGCTTTGCTACAGCAGAGGGTGTGCTCTCAGTTCGGGTATTTGCAGCTGACGGCCTGCCCTCAGTTTTCTCCTTTGCAGCAGCTGTATTGGACGCCTCTTTCCTCTGCTTCTTCCTGGTAAACAAAGAGCCTTTCTTCCTCCTCTTTTTCTTAGAGTTCGGTTCCTGTTTGCTCCCAGAAGAGACAGGCTCCTTCGAGGGTGACTTTTCAACAAATGATTCTTGCCCCACTGCTAGGGCACAAGTGGTATCTACTTCCGCTGGAGCACAAGTGGTATCTACTTCCACTGGAGCACAAGTGGTATGTACTTCCACTGGAGCACAAGTGGTATCTGCTTCCACTGGAGCACAAGTGGTATGTACTTCCACTGGAGCACAAGTGGTATCTACTTCCACTGGAGCAGAAGTGCTATCAACTTTTACTGGAGCACAAGTGTTCTTCACTTCCACTGGAGCAGAAACGTTCTGTTCTTTGGAAGAAGTTCCAGAAGGCAGATGCTTGGCCTTGTCAAACTGCTGACAGACATCACTAGTTGCTTGATTGTCTATGAGGATATCGTCAGCGTTCTGCAAAAAGAAACAGTCAAGTAAATGCCAGTGCAAATGTATTGCCCAAGAAGCAAACACGTTAATCATTTTCTGGGAAGTGGTTCAAAATCAGTGAAATAGTCAATATGGCATAACCACAGATCCACAAGTATCACTAAGCTTTCAAAACTGTCATACATAGAAACATAACATACTAAATTACTAATATTTGTTAGTTTGCACAACAAAGTTAAAATTGAAGTGCTTTGTCACGTTGCCATCCTCATGCCTTCAATTTTATAACCTGCAAATTTCACTAGGGATATCTTCTACCAATGCACACCCGGTAGTGAATTCTGGATGGACCTGATTTACAAACAACCCAACATCCTAATAAATTCTAAGCCCCATACCTCATATCCAAGATATAATCATATAACTAAAATTCTAAGTTCTTGTGGGGAAACAGAATCTCTTTATATATTTTTTTTTAAAAAAACAGCATATGTTTACATGGGTATTACACTTTTTAATTTAAACACAGACAAGTAAAGGAACTATCCCTACAATATTTTTTTCAGAGTATAATGTTTGACTATTTTCTCTAGAAATAGTAAATGGGGACTTTATAAATCAAAGCCTATTGTGCTTATGAGGATTTAAATTCCAACGCTTGAGTAGCAACTCTGAAAGCATCAACCCAAATCTAAACAAGCCCTAAATAATTAAAGGAATAAGAATAAGCAAAGGATCAAAGACTTACTTCTTTGCATAAATCCTCTATATAACCATTTGGTATGTAATTGCCAATACCCAAGAGAAGGTCCATCGTTATGGCTTTCTCCCTCGAGTGTTTGCCCTCTCCACTACTTTCTTCAGCAATCCTATCTGCATCTTTTATAGGAGTATCAGTTTCCTTGTCAGGCAAAGAAGGTCTCCCTGAAAGAGCTGGTCCACTATCATCCTTGAGCAAAACATTTAGATTCTTCTTTTTCTGTGGTTTAGTATATCTACATTCTGTATAAGATGAGCGCTTTTGAGTATGCTGTCTCTTCGGAGACACCCTGACATGAGTATTGCCCTCAGAAAATGCCAAATTTCTTCCTTCATAATGAGCCTTGCTGAGACGACCTCGAAGCAGATGAACTCGAGACTGAACCCCATCAATCGTCAAGAGAATATCCTTTAAAGAGAGTTGCTCAAAAAATCACATCATAATCCTCGGAATCAAGCAATGTAACACTGTCAAGTCCGCCTCGGATAGGAACTGCATTTAGAATGAATCAAATACATAGATAGTTCTTGCATGACTATTAGCTACATGAGAGAATAAAGATGAATTGCAGTTTCTGCATGGTCAATTTAACTAAACCTCAACTAGCTATGTACTTCATTGATCTACCCAAAAATAGGAATGCTACCATAAGATCTAATAAAATCATAGAGAGGATCAGAACACATTATATCATACGGCTATACAAATTAGTTCCTCTCAAATTATGTAGGGTATTTATGTTTATGGAAAATTCAAACTTTGTATAATTTGACTTACGCTTAGTCAAATTATGTAGGCACAAACTATACAGCTACATCCATATTTCAAAGTGCTTTCACACTATATTCGTTTTATAGCTGTAAAGTGTAAACACTACTACTATATTGTGAAACAGAAAATAATGGTCAAAGTTTAATTTTGATATAAAAAAGCCTAGTTTTGAACACTGTACTAAAATAAAATACACCCTATATACTTGGATGGAGAGAATATTTGCTCAGATACTTAAGAATTAAAACTTGACCAAGTACACGTAAGCAAGATTGTCACCTGAAATGACATTAGTAGATTTGCCAAGTGATGTGCTTTCAAGCAATTACAATTTTGATATTTTTATTAACATATACTAATAAAGCAAAAATCAAAGGTGTGTGTTGGAGACTGGTATAGTCCAATGAAAACTAAAACAATGGGATGGAGTGTATAGTAAGAATTAAGAACTCTGTGGAACCGAAGTCATATTAGACATCTCAGAATTCTTTGATAGCGTTCATATGGTTAAAGACTTGGTGACTAATTAATTGTTGGCCTTCAATTAAACACAAGCATATGCCTCAGCTAAAACATAAACGCATTCCTAACAAGAGCAAGCTTTTTCTCACAACTGGGTTAACTTCTAATTCAATCTAATGGTGCAACTTTGCTCAATACCGTTGATAGGATTAGGGATCCTACGAGAGTTGCTACGGAGGTTGTAGGGATGGAAGAGCGGAGGGCAAGGCTTAGGCAAGCGACGGCGGCGAGTCGGCGCCATGGTGATCACCGCGCCAAGGAGGAAGAGAGGGCGCGGCTAGGGCTTCAGGGAAGCCGAGCAACTAAATTGTTGCCTTGCTTAATTCTCTCCAATCAATGTTTACAGATATTTATCCTCCTAGCTTCCATCTATAAGATCCTATATTTAAGGACTAAATATTCTATCTGAGGAAATAAATAAAATAGCTAATTCTGGGCAATCAGCCCCTAACAGATGACGCCTGGGCCGCTAGCCCCTAACAGATGGCGCCATTAGCCACTAATGGGCCGGCGCCTGGAGTATTGGACGCCGGTCATAACAACCGTGCTTTCCATTTTAACTTCACTGAAAAAATTGACCAGATAGGCACATTCATACCTGTACTACCACAATCCTCATCAATTAAGAGACCATCAGTTTCAGCTCCCTTATTTTGTTTATCTGCAAAATACTGAAAGAATTATTGTCGTTAACAACAAAACCCGGTGCAGAATTGACATGGCCATGGATAAATAGATGCCCTATCCCTACACAAAAGAAGACGACATAACTGGATGTCAGACCATGGTAGTATGACAATATTTGGTGCTTGTTGATGTACAAAGGAGTATCCAAATTTTCTTCATGCCTCTTCCGCTTTGTCCTCTTCATGATACTGTTTCCATGACCTTTGTGAATCTGCATAGATTCTGACATAGAACCATTTGCTTTGCTTGCTGCTTGTAATTCTTTTTGTTTCTTGTTTAGAGCAAGCTCCCTGTCATACTTTGATACTTGAGATGAGAGCTCCCTCATACGCAACTCTAACCACTGGCATCTCCACAGAATTGGACGAACATAATTCCTCCACTCAGCCGTCACCTTTTTCCTTATGAAGAGTAATCACATATCACAAAATTTGCATAAAAATGAAGGATATCAGAATAAAACATTACAACAAAATGTAATAAGAACATAGAAAGTAGCTGCTTGCTCCAATTATATTCTAGGCTCTAGCTATACCCACAAAATGATATGTAAGCTAACACTTTGAAGCACTGATAAGAGTAGCACAGGTTTCCTTGTTCATGGCTAGTTGGCTACACATCATAGTTTAAAGCATGAATATCAGAAATAAAAACCATACTCTCAAAGAAAGGCAATAAGCATGAAAATATACGATGTCTCCCAACACGCACAAAAATGAACCTATAATGGTCTACAGCATTAAAAATAAATATCATCAATGCTGGTGTGGGTTCAAATCCCAGGCTAGGAATTTCTTTTGCAAATTCGGACTGTCATGCTTAAAATATAGAGTAGCATTTAGTAAAACACCTAGGTGAACTTTTCCAAAAAGAAACAAGGGCAATACTAACCCCCCAAGGACTTTCTCTCTAACCAGAAGGATACTGGTACTTTGTGTCAATATTTAGTATTTTCGTCCACTACACGATTGACAGATTATCATGGAATCAATCTACCAGGTTGTTTTAACCAAAGTCCTGGTGGAAAAACCAACATGATAAATTTACAATACTTTTGAAGAAGCTATCATCTGCTTAATTGTCTTTTTAATTAGCGACTTGACAAATAGAAGACCATACGAGTATCCAGTAATTGCTTTTTCGGATCGTGTTAGTCATAGTCATAAGTGGTGTGGCATTTCTTAGGACAGAACACATAACTTCCTGGCCGTGGACACCTGCTTCTATCGTGATTAGAAGAATTGGGTAGAAATCATACCTGCCTTTTAATCTAGGTGCTACTATCACCTCCTAAGTTTCGTATATAGATAAATGATGACTGAAACGTGGCCCAGAAAAGGAAAATTTCAGCAAGAAGGTACTAATTAATTAATAAGCATACAAGACTCTGCATTATGTTACTGAATAATTAGTAATTTGTTTCTGTTTCAGATACACTGATGGTCCTACTTTTCTTGTTACTTCCGCAGATAGGAAGGTGCACCAATTACAACATAGTATAACATAGTATAACAGTTGAAATCCCACTACAACCTTCCATCTTATCACAGGAGCATGGGGAGCGGAAAACTAAACACTGTAATTCTAAATGTGAAGCATGTCTCCGTCTCTTATTGGCGAAAGTGAATCTGAATATATGAAATTCAGCAGAGCTCACATAAGCACCTACTCCGTAATTGCCTAGTGCTCAAGCATAATCTTACACCCATTCATTCTTCCATGAACCATGAGCGCATTACACAATAATGAGACCAATAGCATCCAGGGCACGCGAGGAACTTACAGAACACTCACCTAGGGGCTTCCAGGGCCTGCCACCATCGGCACGAGCAGACATGCCAGAATTCACTTCTGGTTCACCATCGCCTGCCGCATCTTGAAATCCAGAACAGGTGTCGCCAAACGAGCTCGAGCATTCGGTGGTATCACCTCCACCTCCCTCGTCTTCCACAGGTTCAGGACCGACCACCAGAGGGTCAGTGTTTGTGCAGTCAGATTTCACCACCACCATGGTGCTCTGGTTCCTGGCTCCACCACCAGCACCCTCGTCGTCAACATCCATGGCCGCTGGAGCGGGAGCCATGGCTCGCCACTGATGCGTCAGGGGCCCTTCAGGCCACAGGAACACCACCGGAATTCGCCCCGATCTTCCTCCACAAGACCTGCGGACAGACGGACGGACAGATGATTTTTCGGCAAAGGTACAAAAATCTGTCGCCCAGAACCCACTGATTCGTACGAGTACACGATAGAACGGGAGGATTCCTACCAATACCTCAACCAAAGCAGAACAATCCCCAACCAGCAGTGGGGCAAGGGTTTACCGCGGAGCGTCAGATGGAGAATCAGGCATCAGCCGGGCGGACCTCCATGGCGGAGGAGAAGATTGGTGGGGAGCCGGGATTGGGGCACGCTTGCACGGCCCGTGGACTTGGCCTCAGATGCGCGGGCGACGGCGACGACGAGGGTTAGGGAGGAAGCATCCATGGATTTGGCCTCCGCTGGTTGTGACGATGGCGGCGGCGAGGGCTCGGGCCTGAGATGGGCAACGAGCGCGGTGGGTCTTTGCGCTTCCGGCCGGCACGGAAGGTGGCAGTGGGCAGTGGCGGTGGCCGTCAGCTTCGGCCGGCAGCGTAAAGGGCCGGAGGTGGAGCCGACGAAACCAAGGAGCAAATGAGCAACGGATGCAGGTTTTTTTACCTCTGGTGTCTGGTAATAAAAATAAAAACAAAAATAAACTCAAGTGGATAGCGAACCAACTACATTTCTTTTCAAAGTTTCTTCAAAATTGATATGGTTTTTTTGAAATTAACATAATCTAACGAGTCGTGCCGAAGTTAAAAAGTCATTCAAAATCAACTTAATTCTATTTTAGTAAAGAAACAAGTTTAATCAAAACAATTTTAAAACAAACTGCCGAGCCATTTTAGTAAAGAAACAAGAACTTATTTTTATCTTTGAAAGCTTATCTTCAAAATCAGCACCTATAGTACAAAAACAAAACTATTCGATACTGTTCATAAGGTACTGTTCAAAACTATGTTCGCATATCACGTGCTGCTTCCTAGTCCGCGCAGCGTAGCGCGCTGGTTCGGGCTAGTGTATCTTTTAAGTAAGATTTGGTTGAAAGGGCGAAGAGAAATTAATGGAGCAATCCCATTTATACCTCGGTGTTTGGATTAGGGCTTCGTTTGCGTGTTCTTAAACTTGGCTTGATTTGCTTCTTTTTTTATTTGGAACAGTGTTTTTCTCCAAATCATCCAAATTCCTCCAGTATTTCTCCAAACCATCCAAATTCCTCCCAGCAAACGGGCCCTAGATATTTATTGTCACTGACTAGGATCACAACACAGAGTATGTATTTGGTAGTTTGGACTCGTGTTCGTCGGACTAGCCAGAGCCAGGTCCGATCGGCACTGCCGCACGGTCTCTTGTTTGAGGGTTACCACCGTCCGACATAGGTTCATGCAGAACTAGTTCGTCCGTCACTTTTTCCAGGGGATGAACCGGCTCTTCAGATTGGCTTGCTGGAGTAAACAAAAAATGGCAGGGTGACGCAAACAAAACGATATTTTGTAGGACGGACGGACTAATCTGGCGAGCCAAACGCACCGTTAGATAACGGATCCCAGTCAAGAACGACTCTCCTCTTCTTTTTTTTTTTTTGAATCACGCAGCCTGTTCGCTTGCTCGTAAACGATCGTAAATTTCCAGCCAGGAACAGTGTTTTTCTCTCACACCAAACCAGCCAGCAATAAATAATCCACGATACGATCTGACCTCCCTAACAGCCGACGATTCCTCTACACTGACGCTAAGTTTCGTGCAAGAAGATGCGGACTATTAGATGCACAAATGGCACTTGAGTCAGATCTAGACTGACGCTTGAATGAAGAGAAGATATACGAACGCGCTTATATTAAGTGGGGAATTTTAAAATCCATGATGATCATGAGAAGATATACGAACGGCTTGCCTGTTCGGCAAGTGCATGGCCGTGCCCCTGTTCGCCAACACGTCGGCTACCATGGACGGGTCTCCGCCCCCAACATCGATGGGTGGCATGAGATCCTCCCCCGGCAGGTCACAGGATCTGTTGCTGCCTCGACGGAGCCTCGCTCCAGCCAAAAGCAACTTTCGCAGGTCAAGAAGATCCCGGCAGAGTTTCACGGCAGATGCTTCAACTGCCTCTCCTACTCGCACCAAGTAGCGACTTGTCGGTTGCCACGGCATTGTCTGCGCAGTCGCGGATTCGGACACCTCGCCAAGGAATGCAGGCGAATGACTGCTTCGACCTCGGCGGCGATGGGTGCCAACCTGCCACGGTAGTCTGCTCGCGACGACCCTACGTCCTCCCAGCACGCGCCGCGCGGCGGGGCGCAGGGTGCCGCGCCGGCGGCCGTGGGGGGCGCCGGTGGGAGACGACGACGACATCGGCGACGCAAGACTAAGCCGAAGGACATCGGCACGGGTGCGCCTGCCGACCACGCCGACAAGGCACCTACTTCTACTGCTGCATTATGCTTCCCCGAGCTAGATCCGCTGGCGTTGGCGATGTGCGTGAGTGCGGGGCCTCCCGCATTGGTCATCTCTTTCGACCCGATGCTGGAGGAGCTCGCCGCCTCGCTCGTCGTGAGTCGGCCAATGAGAGCAGCAACACCTGAGTGTCTGCCTGCTACGACAGCCCCTCCTCCGGAGGTTGAAGCACCAGTGGCGGACACCTGTTCCCCACCGACGGCTGCTCAGTGGACGACAGACTTGTCTCTGATGTCGCCAGTGTAGGGGCCGCCACAACTCACGCCACCACGAGCGGGAGCACCTGGCGTCGCAGATGGTTGCACCAACCCCAGCGACGCGACACCCATACCACGCGAAGCTAGCCGACGTCTCGCACGGTTCACTGAGGAGGTGCAGCTTGAGCGAATGTCGCCATTAATCGCCAGCTCACCCAAGCAGAAGGTGGCAACCATAAGGCAACCCCTGTCAAAACGGAGCAGACGAATTGTCGCTCAGCCGCTGGCGCACATTCCGACCTCCAAGCGGGTCGAGGTGCTCCTCATGTAGAGGATGGGCTTTGCACCGCTGGCAGCTTCAATCTCATCCGTGTCCAAGCGAGTTTACGACGACTTTTTCGCAAGGAACCTGACGTCGAGCAAAGTGGAAGCACTGGACGTGCGGTTCCCGGCGACCAATGCTAGGACTGGTAGAAGACTCTTCTCGGATGACGGAGCAGGGTCGCACGGCCAGTAGCGGAGACGCCCAGCTCCGTAGGTTACTGCGCTGCTCTTAGTTCAATTGTTTACTTTTATGTAATATCGAAGTTTGAAACAGTCTGCTAGGAACGTCCAGTCACAACTGTAAGATCTCTTAGGGCGCTCATTAGAAACGTGTCGTGTGTATGGTTAAACTCTTCTTCTTGAATACAATGATACGTAAATCTTTTACGTATTTGAGAAAAAAAAAGATGCGATCTTCGAAAGTGGTTAAGCCAGAAAAAAAAAATCCCCATGCAGCTGCAGCCCGCGGTGGTCCACTTCTATGCCATATTCCTGGCTCGCGTGGGCCAAAATAACTAGCAGGGCTACACGACGTGGGCTGTTGTGCTCCAAAACTGGGCTATCGCAGAAATGGGCTCCATCAGTGAGACCAACTGACTGATAAACTTTTGAATAGCCTTTTCTAAAATAAAAAAAAAAATGAATATGGGCGTGAGTAAAATGTGACCTACTCTATTGTTCAGTTAAATTAAGGGACACAAACCTATCTACTCCCTCCGTTACTCAAAAAAATGACGTTTAGGACAGCATTTAGGATAACAAGGAGTAATTAATTAGGGTAGAGTTTTCCCTCACTGCCCCTATTAAATATACTTGCGGGTACATGCTATACGAGAACATCCATTAGCTCAAACGGTTAGCGCAGCGACGTGTTAAGGCCGAGGTGCTCGGTTCGAAGCCTGGTGGGCGCATTTTTTTTTTGCTAGTGGCGCATTTTTGCATGGTCTGTTTACGCTGCATGACGCGCGTACCAGAATCAGTTTTCGCTAATTTTGGCCTGGCGCGCGTGGGAGGCGCATGGCGCTCCCCTGGCCGCAAGTTTTCACTGAAAATTTTGTCGTGGCGCACTGGAGGTTGTTTGGGCGCGTTGTTTTCGCGCGTCTGGTCAATTTTTTGTTCGGATTAACAAGATTAAATGACGTTTGGGTTGCCTGAGTTTCTATTAAAGCGTCACTCTTCTATTCTTCACCCCACTTCTTCACTCCACTGCTCTTCTTGTTCATGCCACTTCTTCACTTCTTCGCTGAGCTATCACATGGCTGATGTTGTGTTTGATCTCAACGTTCGATTAGAAGACGATGACGACGGCAACGCTGGATTTGCTTTCGACGACCCCGAAGATGACATCTACCGCATATAAAAGCGCTCGGCGGCAAGGAATCCGGCACTATCTCTGAGTCCGGCACCATCTCGATGGAGTCCGGCACCATCTCCGAGTCTGGCGAAGGCTGCTGCGACTCCGGCGTGGAGTCCGGCACCACCTCCTCCGACAATGAGTCCGCTGGCGCTGGATCCATGGCACGGCGAGCGGCGAGCACGAGCGGCGGCGAGCGCGAGCGGCGAGCACGAGCGGCGATGTGCTGGATCCATGGCGTGCGAGCGGTGGCCAGCAGCAACGAAGGCTTTAAAGCGCGAGTGGAGAGCAGCGAGCGAGCGGCCAACGGCACGGATGGGAATCGAGGAGATCGAGTTTGTTGCGGCATCGAGGAACGAACGGTCCCGTCATCAATTCACGATGCATGGATCGATGGGGCAGGGGCTTTAGCGTCCACAAAACCGTAGTTGGACCCATAACGACGTTTTTTTGCATCTTTGCGTATAGGAGCCAGAACGTCATTTTTTTGAGTAACGGAGGGAGTATGTATATATCTTATAAAACTAAACCCCACTACAAGTTCTATGTAGCTCCATAGTGTTCCACGTCGTCAATCGTGTACAAGTTTCAAATTGTAAATTGCATTTCATATTCAAGAATCGAAAGGTCACCAAGTATTAATGCCACAGTAATGGTGGAGGATATGAAGAG